GGATACTGGCAATCGAACCCGGGTCGACTGAGTGCAAGGCAAATGCCCTACCTGCTGTGCTATCATGCCAGCTCCAGGTGTATGATTCTTTTGATGTATTGTTGGATTTGGTTTGCTAAGATTTTGTCAAGTATTTTTGCATTGATGTTTGTTAATGCAGGTTATTGGTCTGAAAATTTCTACTTTAGGAAGTCTCTGTATTGGTTATTGGTGTAATGTTAGCTTTGTAGAAGGTTTTAAGAAAGATTTCTCTTTAATATTTTGGAAAAGCTTAAGGATCAATGGCAGTAAGTAAAGTTGTAAGGTTGTAAGATTTGATAAAACTCACCAGTTAACTCATGTGGACCAAGACTTTTGTTCTTGGGGAGATTCTTAATTGTTTCAAACTGTTTCAGTTTCTATTTTTTTAATTAATTAATTAATTAATTTATTTTGCTTTTTGGGTCACACCTGGCGATGCACAGGGGTTACTCCTGGTTCTGCACTCAGGAATTACCCCTGGCGGTGCTCAGGGGACCATATGAGATGCTGGGAATCGAACCAGGGTCAGCCACGTGCAAGGCAAACACCCTACCCACTATGCTATCACTCCAGCCCCCTGTTTCAGTTTCTAAAGTTTCGATTCTAAACTGTTTCAATTTTATTGTTTGTGATTGGTCCATTTGGATTTTTTACTTTCTCCTCATTTAGTCTTGGGAGATGACGCCTTTCTAAGAATCTGTTCATTTCTTTTAGGTACTCCAGTTTAACAAGGTAGAGTTGTTCATAGTAAGCTCTTATGATGGCTTGGATTTCTGAGAATTCTGTTGTAATTTCTTCTCTGTTATCTCATTTTATTTGAGCATTTTCTCTTTTTTCCCTTGTGAGTCTAGTCAGAGATTTATCCAGCTTGTTTATTCTTTAGAAGATCCAGCTCTGTTTTCATTAATTCTTTGTATTGCTTTCTTGATTCTTGTTTATTTTTTTTAGCCATTTTAAGTACTCTATGCATTGGTGTTGTTCTGTTTGAGTCTATTTTGTTTAGTACTCTTTGAACCACTTGATTATGTGCAGCAGCATCTTTCTAGATAACTGGGAAGCTCTCAGATATTATCTCTCCCACTACTTATCTTTCCCTTTCTCCTTTTTTGTCTCCTTCTGGTATTATTTTTTAATTTTTTTTGTTTTTTGGCTCACACCCGGTGATGCACAGGGGTGTTACTACTGGCTCTGCACTCAGGAATTACTCCTGGCGATGCTCAGAGGACCATATGGGATGCTGGGAATTGAACCCGGGTCGGCCACGTGCAAGGCAAACGCTCTACCCCCTGTGCTATCGTTCCAGCCCCTCCTTCTGGTATTCTTATAATTAAGTTTATTCCTCTTTTTAAAAAAATTCTTCTTTCTGTTATCCATTAAGTACCTTACATTCTCTTTCATTCTTTTGCTTTTCTTTCCCCACTTCCTTATCAATTCTGGCTTGTATTTTATCTTCAGGTTAATCTATATTATTTTCCTTATGTGCAATCCTCTATAATGGCTTGTTCTTTAGTGCTGTAAATTCAATTTATATAAAATCTGTCATTCTCTGAATCAGTTCTTTGAGTTGTTTGACTTTCTTGTGCAGTGGTTGCTTAATTTCACTTGCCAGTACTTGCTTAATTTCTACTGCTAATGCAGTGAGTATTGATTTGAGGTCTTCATCAACCAGACTTGAGAATTTTGATGAGCTTGCAAACTCACCTGAGGTTTTATCCCCTTCTATCAGAGCAGCTGAGTTCCTTCCTTTACCCATTTTTCTTCAAGTTTTATGGATGCTAATGGTGAATCTTTAGATTCCCTGTTACTTAAGAACCAATCCATTCATTGATTGTAACAGAGGGCCACTTATTATACCTCTGTTATTCAGATATTTTTTTTATCTTATAGCACAGCGTGTAGGGCATTCGCCTTACAAGCGGCCAACATGGCCGACCCGAGTTCGATTCCTCCGCCCCTCTCGGAGAGCCCGGCAAGCTACCGAGAGTATTCGATATGCCAGACACAGTAACAACAAAGTCTCCAATGGAGACGTTACTGGGCCTGCTCGAGCAAATCGACGATCAACGGGAGGGCCTTTTCCTTTACCTTTATCTTATTTTTAATCATCGTGGGATATAGAAAAGTTACAAAGCTTTTCTGTTTGAGTTTCAATCATAAAATGATCAATCACCCCACCCTCCACCAGTGCACATCTTCCACCACCAAGAACCCCAGTATCCCTTCTACCCCACCCCTCCCCCTGCCTCTGTGGCAGACACATCTCCCCCATACTCTCTTTTGTATTGCTTGTTATGAATAGTATAAGATGTTGTGTGGCCTCAAGTGCGGCCATGTGCTCCTGGAACTCCAAAATTCCAGACAATTAGAGTCTGGAGAAGTCTCTGCAGTGAGCTGCTCAATTCGGAGATTCTTTAGTGTGTCTCTGGATCATGACTGCCGAGGAGCTTAAGTAGCAGCTGGAGGTAGGGCATGACCTTCAGGGTCCCATGGGGATGGGAAGGGGTGAGAGGAACTGGCCCATCCCCTATCCCTTGAGGCCTGGTGTTTGCTATCACTGAACCCATGTAATTGCTCTTCTCATTGGGTTCTAGAAGTCGGTGGCTGCCAGGGCTTTTAGAGGGCAGGACTTTTGGGTTTTCATTATTAAAATTGTATTTTTGATGATTATAATTATGTTTTGGGTCTTGAGGATTAGAATGGATGACAGGAAACAAAACTGCCTGCTCTAAAGGTGGTACATAGGTGGGTCCCAGGTTTATGGGCATGAGGCTGTATATCTGGAGCTTGGTCAGCATAAGAGGGTGAGGCAAATGAAGAACCAGTTTCCAGAAGCACACACCTGATTTTGAGGATTAGAACTGACAGTAGGTGATGCAGCTCTGGAAAAAGGGCCGGAGGTGGTGATGGTGGGTGTATGAGGAGCCCAGAGTTCCAAGCAGGAGGCTGCACTCTGGAGTCTGACCAGGGAGAGCGAGTGGGATGAGCAAGATTTTCAGTTGAATTTTTGGTCTGATTTCTGTACTCTTAGACATTATACTATACATTGTGTAACATGTACTATACCTGTGAGGGAACTTAAGCTCAGGAAAGTTAAAATATTTTTACTTTTCTATTTAAAGTTATGGATTTTTAACTTTAAAAAATATTAATTGGGGTACTGTGCTTTACAATACTGGGTGATTTTTTTTGGGTCACACCCAGCGATGCTCAGGGGTTATTCCTGGCTCTGCACTCAGGAATTACTCCTAGCAGTGCTTGGGGGACCATATGGGATGCCGAGGAGTGAACCCAGGTCGACTGCGTGCAAGGCAAACTCCCTACCTGCTGCGCTATTGCTCCAGCCCTTTCTTTTTCTTTTTTTTTTTTTTTTTTTTACTTTTTGTGATTTTTAAAGGTAAAGGCCCTCCCGTTGATCATCGATTTGCTCGAGCGGGCCCAGTAACGTCTCCATTGGAGACTTTGTTGTTACTGTGTTTGGCATATCGAATACGTCACGGGGTGCTTGCCAGGCTCTGCAGTGTGGGTGATATACTCTCGGCAGCTTGCCGGGCTCTTCTTTGGGCCACACCCAGTGGTTCTCCTGGTTCTGTGCTCAGTAATCACTTCTGCCTGTTCCTGAGGGACCCTATATGGTCCTTGGGATAGAACTTGAGTCAGTAGCATGCAAGAACAGTGTCCTACCTACTGTACTGTCACTCAGGCCTGATTCACAGTATTTTTAATGATGGTTTCCCTTGTATGTGATTCCAATACCACACCCATCATCAGTGTACTTACCTCACTCCTTCAAGTTTCCTAATGCCCCTTCAAGAAGATCAATTTTTTTTCTGCACTCTGTGTTGCTCAGGGGCTGCTCAGGACTCTGCATTCAGGAACCACTCTTGGCAGTGTTTGGGAGATCATATGGGATGCTGGGATATTGGTTACCCAACCAGTGTGCAAGCCTTACCTGCTATACTATCTCCTCTGGCCCCAGGTTACAAATTATTTTTTGTGGGGGCTTTTAAGCAGCATTCAGGAGACTAAGGAGCCCCTCATAATGCTACTCAGGAGGTCTAAGATGCTTCCCCAATGTTTCTCAGTCAAACTAAAGTGGGGTTTAGTGTGACAACTTTGATGCAGTGCTATTCAAACCCTTCCTCTTAGGGATTATTTAAGTCATCCTGCCAAAGCTCAGGGGCCAGCAGGATCACACTCAGTGGTGCTTGTAGTTTATAAGGCTGCACTGGGAAATGCTCAAGGGCCATGTAGTGCCAGAATAGAACTGAGGTCAGTCACATGCAAGACCTATGCCTTAACCCCTCTCTTTAATCTTGAGGTTGAAGGTTAAGGTCACACACAGCTGGGAAGTAGGGAAGTGGTAGAAGAAAGTAATGTGACTTGGGCTCTTTGTGAGTGTTGGAATATGTAGTAGATGAAAGTCATGGGAGGGAGATCTCAAAATTTATATTAAGGACTGAAAAGTATTTTTCAGAATATAATTTAATTTAAGAATTTTTTTCAGATAAGACAGAATCATATCAATGATGTGAATGTTAATTGATCAGCATTTCTTTCAGGACCTTTTGTTTTTCTTAATAGTTGAAGATTCTTTTTGAAGCAGGACTATAATAGCACTAATTTTAAGTGGAGCTTAAAATTAGAAATTGGGTATAATTATCAATATCATATAATACTTACTGGAATTTATGCTATCTTGTGTTGTACAATTGGGACTACAGTTATGGAATAGTTTAATGTTAGCATACTTGTTTTACTAGGACCATAGATATATATTTTTTGTTTTTGTTTTTGGGCCTGAACTGGTGGAGCTCAGAGGTGACTTCTGACTCTGCACTTAGAAATCACTCCTGGCAGGCTCAAGGGACAACATGGGATTCTGGGAATTGAACCTGGGTCATTCTGTGCAAGACAAGTGACTTACCTTCTGTAATATCTCTCCAGCCCCATAGATAGAATTTTCCAATCATATTTTTCAGATACTGATCGAGCCTTATCATTACTGGAAGAGTACTGCAGAAGACTAAGGAAACCAGAGGAGCAACAGTTGAAAAATGCTGTTAAGAAGGTGATGGGGATATTTAAGAGCAGCTTATTTCAAGCTTTGTTAGGTACGTATTAATAATTACTTATCATCTTGATCAGAATTGGATTAATTGTTTGAGAAATGTGGTCAAAGACGCTGATATCAATCCAATTAAAAAGTAACATTCTTCCTTTAAAAATGGTTTAGTGTTGTTTCTTTTTAAAGATTAATTTATATAGAGATATTTAATGTAGATTATTACATTTAAACTCAGGTTGGTCACATGCAAGGCAAATGCCATACCACTGTACTATTGCTCTGGCCCAGATTAATATTTTTAAATCCCACAAAGTCTAGAAAATAATTACCAGAACCCACAAGTAAATTTTGTGAGGTCTGTTTAAACAGGTTCAGTCTCTATGGAAAACAGTATGGAAAGTTCTATAAAATTTTTTTTTAACACATCTACCTTATAAGCTAACAATCCCGCTCCTAGGGATATGCCCCAAGAACAAAAAAAAAAAAAACCACCAATTTCTACCTATGTTCATTAAAGTAAAGTCAAGAGCTGGAAACTATCCAAGTGTCTAATGACACGAAAACAATCCAAGAGTCTAATGACATACACACACAAAAGTTCCATGCTGGAGCGATAGCACAGAGATAGGGCATTTGCCTTGCACGCAGCCAGCCCAGCTGAGCCAGGTTCGATTCCTCCACCCCTCTTGGAGAGTGGCCCTCTCGGTGAGCCTGGCAAGCTACTGTGAGTATCTCGCCCAAACTTTAAATAATTTTTTATATTTTAGGAGTCAATCTAGAGAATGATATAAACGCCAAAGTAAACCAGCCAACTAGTTAATTAATTAGAAAAAACTCAGTTATTATATTGTGTATATAAATATGTATATATGTGTATATATTTTACTGAGCTTCAACAATGTGTGTATGTATGTATGTATTTGTTTGTTTATTGGTGTTTGGCTGTGCTTATGGATTACTTCTGGCTCTGTGCTCAGGGATTACTCCTGGCTACTCCAGGGAACCTATGTGATGCCAGACCCTGCTCAGCTGTGTGCAAGTTAAATGCTTTACCTGCTGTACTAGGGATCTGACTCCAACAATGCATTTTTTTAAGGGGAGGTTTTGGGCGACACCTGGTAATATACAGCATGACTCCTGGGTGCTTAAGGGGACCATATATGGTGCTGCAAATTGACCCACATCTGCTGCATGCAAGACAAACACCTCTATATAACCTCTGGCCGAACCTTCAACAATGTACTTTACTGTTTTAATTTTCATTTTTTTGTGTGTGAAGCAAATAGAGTTATTTTTGAGGTGTGTAGTGTTGGAGCACACCCCGCGATGTCCTGGTTATGCACTTAGAAATCACTTAGAAAACACTCCTGGTTAGGCACTTAGAAATCACTTTAGGTGGTGCTTGGGGGACCATATGGGATTGTGGAGATTGAACCCTGGTCAATTGCATGCAAGGCGAGTGCCATATTTACTGAACTATTGCTCTGGCCCCAACAATGTATTTTCAATAAAAAACTGTTTTTCAACGTTTTTCATTTTTATTCTACAATGGAAATATATGTGAATTAATATTGAAAATATTTTATCTATGTTCTTATAAATATTTATTCCTATCTAAAAGCTTTGTGGATAGTACATAATTAAAAACTTAAAATTTTGAAAATTAAAAATGTCAGTATTTGAATATGAATATTGAATTCTTTTGTTCGTGCTTTAATTATTTTTAATTTTTATTTTTAATGTAGGAGTATTGCTATTTATTCAGCCATTGATTAAGCTGATTGATTTAGGCATGAACTCCACATCACTTAAAATTTTTTTTAAAATTAGATATCTGTGGAGGTTTAAGTCATACAATGATCCAACACCCATCCCTCCACCAGTGTACAGTCCCACCACCAATGTCCCCCATTACCCCACCACCATCCCCCAGCCCCCCACCCCCACCCTCCCTCTATGGAGGTTCTTTCTTCTTCTTCTTCTTCTTCTTCTTCTTCTTCTTCTTCTTCTTCTTCTTCTTCTTCTTCTTCTTCTTCTTCTTCTTCTTCTTCTTCTTCTTCTTCTTCCTTCTTCTCTCTCCTTTTCCTTTTGTGCATTATGGTTTACAATGCAGGTGCTAAGAAATCATGGTGTTTGTTCAGAGCATTTGGTATTTTTATCTGGACGGTAAGGCTGGAGTAGCTCTTCAACTGGGTGGCAGCTTTGGGATGTGGATGTGATTGCCAATGCTTCCGGAAGTACAGAGAGGTGGGAGAAAGTAGCCCATTTTGACCTCAAGAAAGCCTGGAGATTTCAGTCATAAAGCCCGCATACCAGAATTTTCAGCAGATTGTATCTTGGTGAGGTCTGTCCTGAGATGGATGAGTCAGGCTGGGGTATGGTGCTGATTTCAGATTGTGGAAGCAAGTGGCTGCCGGTGACTCTGCTTGGGCGGGCACAGGCCAACTCACCCTCCCCTTCGATATACCCCAGTCTGTTCAGCCATGTGTGGGTCCAAGATTAACTGTGGCTTTTGATCTCTTTCAGGATTTATCTACGGGGCTCTGAAGTAAGGCCAATAAATGAGCTTGTATAGCTGAGTTGGAGGTGGTTTGTGAGCATGGCTCCCACATACCTAACTTTTGGCTGTTTAATTTATTGGTAAACTTGGCCCCAAGTTGTTGAAGTCCAGCCAGAGGCAAAGCAGCAATTTTGGGGTATCAGGAGGCCCGAAGACACATCAGTGCTGATACACTCGCCCCGCAGGTACAGGTTGACCTGTTGGTGGCACCATACCCCCTGATTTAACTTCTTTAAACTTTTTTCTGTGGCTGGTAAGAATTAATAACAACTATAGTAGGATTAACTGTCATTAAATAAAGACAACTTTAAGTAGATTCCTACAGAATTTAAATAAGCTCTGGCATTATTTAATATGGTAGAGAATATTTTAAGCTATAAATTTCTCAATTAAAAATTAATAGTTTCGGGCTGGAATGATAGCACAGCGGGTAGGGCATTTGCCTTGCACACAGCCGACCCGGGTTCAATTCCCAGCATTCCATATGGTCCCCTGAGTACCTCCAGCAGTAATTCCTGAGTGCAGAGCCAGGAGTAAGCCCTGTGAATAACCAGGGCTTTCTTTTGTGACCCCAAAAGAGAAAAAATTAATAGTTTCATCTAGTGGTATAGCACCTGAAAAAGATTTGTATAGCATGATTAATTAACACTGATCTTTTGAGTAATTTTGTCTTTTGAGTAAGTTTCTTAGAATTTATTTTAGAAAGGGACTGTTAGAGATTTTTTCTTTCTTTTTTTGAAATATATTTTTAAAATTAACTGTGATTTACAAAGTTATTGATAGTTGAGCTTTAGGCTATACTATTTCAACACCAATCCCACCACAAGTGTCAACATCCCCTCACCAGTGTTCCCATGGTTCCTCCCTACCACAACCTCCACCCATCCCTACTGTCAACTTAATAGGCACATTAAAAAATGTCAGTGGTTGCAGCTTAGATCTCATGTTTTCAGTGCTGTTTCAATATGTTTCAACATGTTTTAATATGTTTTGAATATTTGGCTATTCTACTCATATCACTGTATAACTGAAGTCCTGATGCCTGTTCACCAATTACTTCTTGTTCTCTCCACCCCCATTTGATTTCTTTCCTTCTCTCTCCCTTCTCTAAACACTAGGGTCAAGGCTAATCTAGGCATCCCCCTTTTACTACACTGTTTCCTCATCTAGTATCCTATATCCCACAGATAAGTGAGATCATCCTATGTTTGTCTTTCTTCTTCTGACTTACTTCACTCAACTTGATATCTTCCAGTTTCAACCATGTTTCAGGATTTCAACCAAATTGGAGGATTTCATCAATCCTTGCTGCTGCATAGTATTCCATTGTGTATATATACCACATTGTCATGATCTATTTATCTGTTGTCGGACACCTAGGTAGATTCCATATTTTAGCTTTTGTACGGTGTGCAGCAATGAAAAATTGTGTGCCTGTGTCCCTTTGAGAGAGTGTTTTTATGACCTGGGGTTATGATGTCCAAAAGTGGAATTGCTGGTCATATGACAGTTCAATTCCAAGTTTACTGTAAACTTTCTATACTATTTTCCACAGGGGCTGTACCAGACAACATTCCCACTACAAGTGCATCATAGTTCCTTTTTCAACACATCCCCACCAATACAGATGGTTCTTACTATTTGACATTTGCCATTCTTACTGGTATGAGATGGCATCACATTGTCATTTTGATTTGAATTTCTCTGACTATTATCATTACTATCATGCTCAGTGATACTGAACATTTTTCCATGTACCTACTGGCCATCCACCTGTCTTCCTTTGAGAAATGTCTATTCTTTTTTTTTTTTTTTTTGCTTTTTTTGGGTCACACCTGGCAATTCACAGGAGTTACTCCGGATTCATGCACTCAGGAATCACTCCTGGTGGTGCTCGGGGGACCATATGGGATGCTGGGAATCGAACCTGGGTCGGCCGCGTGCAAGACAAATGCCCTACCCGCTGTGCTATTGCTCTAGTCCCAAGAAATGTCTATTCTTTTCCTCTTCCATTTGTTGATTTTGTTTTTGATTTGTTGTTGTTGATCTTTGTGAGTATATATCCTGAATAACAAACCTTTATCTGATGTGTTGAATATAAATATTTTTCCCCATTCAGTTAGCTGTCTTAGTTTTAGCCTGTGAGTTTTTTTCCTTATAGAAGTTCTTTAACATTTTGTAGTCCCATTTGTTTATTTTTATTGTGTTTTCTTTGCCAGTGGTATTATACCATTGAAGGTAGGCTTGAGGTTCAAATCTTAAAGTGTTCTGCCTATATTTTCCTCAATCCTCAGTGTACTTTATAGTTTCTGTAGGACCTTAAGGATACTGATCCATTTCGAATTGACTTTCGTGTAAGGTATAAGATACTGATCCCACTTCAATTTCTTACATGTAGTTATTTAATTTGCCAGCACCATTTAAGAGTCTGTGTGTACTTCATTTCATGTTCTCAGCTTCTTTATAAAAAATTAACTGTTCATATA